GTTACGAACGGCCTTGGTCGCGTGTATGCATGCGTGTTTTACGTCACAGGTCAAGCACACAGCGGGCATCGAAGGCGAGTCGGATATCGGTGCACCGCACTTCGGGCACCGATTGCGTAACCGTAACATTGATAAGAAAATAAGCGAGTCGCCTTGACATTGTCGACTCGTAAAGCGCCCGATCGATCGTTGTTTTTGTCGAAAGATTATCGGTCGTGCGTGGCGGCTCTTTCCGGTGGCGTCACGCAGAAACGCGCGAAAATCGCGCGACGCTTTCGAGCAGGCTGATGAATATTTATCATCACGCTTGCATTCGGCTTCCTCAACGAGAGGCTTAATCGGCCGTGTCGTTTATAGCGGTTATATCATAAATTATTTGTCGCGCAACGATTTTATTTACAGCGGTGTTCCCGGGTGATATCGACTTTGGAGTCAGGTCTTATTTTTCTTCTCTCCACACATGCAATTTTTTGTCTCGCGATCTCTCCTCGCTTCTCTAGTCGCGGATACAACTCGATCGTGTTCGCTGAGCGCAGGTGTGCGATCTTCACTTTGTTACGAGTAGGAGGTTTCGGTTAACGAAACGTCGACGTCATTACCACTTGACGTTATGCGTCGAATTGTTCTCTGCGATTATCACAAGTCCTCCTTATTTTTACCGGCAAGAAACGAGCGAGTTCTCTGGCGTGCTTCTCGCGACGATCGCCGATAATAAGAAAGAAGAACGTGCAAATGGCGATTTATCGCTCTTGCGGTTCGTCGTTTGCAAGGACCTCTTTCTTCGCAATTTGTGATCGCGGCGCTTTCGGCCGTTAAAAAGTTGCCCTTTTGCGATCTTTTCTGGCGTTAATAATATTCTAAAGCGGCCTTTCGTTCGGGCCTGAGCACAGGTGGGCGACGGGGTTGTTTTTGTGACTCGTCAATGTGACGATAGGGGATGTCGTCGGCAAGGCATAATCTGTCAGGCGCAGGTCTGATGATGTTTATATAATCACGTGGTTAAATTGTTGCACACTGTGTTGTCCGCACGCTTACGTAACTGAAATTCAATCGCATTCTCGCGGGAAACGTGCAAATGTGTTACCTCCGCTACACGCTATTCCTCGTCATCGTTGTCGTCGTTGTCGCCGTCGTCGTCATCTAAGGGAACCTTTCCACTTGACGGTGAACCTCCTTAGACTAAACGTTGGAAAATTCATTTCTATCTCTCGTCAAGAATTCTCCGCTGATTAACCGCTAGAGAATGAAAGCTCTCTCGCAGATTGTCGATGTTGAGAAATCGCAAGGATGACTAATTGAAACATAGATTCGGAGATACGATTATCTATTAATTTATCTTTTAATTCCGAAAGTGGAAATTACCTCCTCCTTTCTCATTTCAGAGAAAAACCCGACGTATCTATAACGCAGATATGTATACGCACGAGATGTTAAACATTTTTATTGAATCGATAATAGCGTCGCGCAAGGAATAAAAGATAGTCGTTCGCGATACCTATATTGTGTTCCTCAGATAAAAACCGCCCTTATAGTTACACATACAGAGATAAAGAGAGGGAGAAAGAGTCGATTCTGCTGTTCAAGGGCGCAGATGCTCGTTGCGATATGACAATGGGGGATGAGGTCCTAACAAGCACTCGGTGCACCTGACACAACCCCTGTGTATACCTGACTCTACGCTTACATTGAAATTATTTCGGGGAACGACATTGTACACCCTTTACAGTATAACTTTCATATATTATTCATGTTTTCCAGTTACATTAGATTATCGTATTTTCCAATCTTTACTAGATTGATGGAAAAGCGCTTCTCCTTTTCTCTCGTCGTCTGCTCGACTGTTGAAATTTATATATCATTTCATGTGTCGTATGAATTTTCGTGGATAAAAAATTCCAAACTTGTATAAATGATATATATATATATATATATATATTAGTGAGTGTGAGGAAACTTTATATACATATATCAGTATTTATTTCCTTATTTATCGCAACTGCATGAGAAACGTCTCGCCGGCTTCGTCCCGCGTTGTTACTGAGAATCTTAATTTACTTCTTAATTCAACGTCTCGCTCATTTGGGCGTAAAGCTCGCCTTGTTCCGTTCGCGTTCCGATGCGCAAGCGATGAATCGTCGCACAGATGAGAGAGGCGTCCAATTATAAAAATCGACGGACGAATCAATTAAGATTTATTAACTCGACGCTTTGCGTTGGTGTGCTTGCAGGTACTGGCGCGGTCCAGCCAAATGAATGGACGCATGGAAGGACTTGATACGAATTTGAGGGTAAGATTGTTATTATCGGCGCTCCGCCAATTATACTCTAATGTTTCAATTGCCAAATATAAATCAACGGTGGATAAAAGTTATCGTTAGAATCGTTAGAGATTACAACGGGAGTATGGAATTGGGAGAGATTTAATGATAACTTGGCGCAACTCTTTCCGCCAAGGAGTATTGTGTTACGCGAGGTACGTCAATGTCGGCTTACCAATCAATGCCGAGAAACGAATTCTATAATCACCGGTCAGTTCGGAATTCGAGGATATAATCGGCATTCTCGGCGGTAATCAAAGTAAGTCGATACTCGAATACGGCAGAAGCAGGAGAAATGATTTAACGTGAAAGATACAAAATGTGAGAGGCTTTGCAATCCGGTAGATAATCGTGTGAGCGAGAACCAACACAAAACACACATAGAAGTCGTACTTTCGTTAATTCTTTTTCACCGTAAATCACGTCATCTTGACAGTAAAGGTCAAACGGTCGAACAAGAGCGAGAGAGACAGAGAGAGAGAGAGGGGGGGGGGAGGGAAAAAAAGATATCGCTCGTTTTTATTTTCAAATTTCGTACTCGTCGTGGCAAAGCCGCGACAAGCGCTAACAAAGGTCGAAGATCGTTATTATTGAAAACGCGTCGTTTCCCAGGGGGGAATAATTGGATAAGCGCGCGGAGCGCGGACAACGCGCGAAATCACTGTAAATTAATCGACGGGGGACTGATCCTCCGGTTACTGAAAAATCACGCTAATGAGTGGATGAGATTTAACTGGGGGATCGGGAGCAGGCTGTGGTCACTTCAAACGTCAATGCCGATCGTAAACCGGACCGTCGCACAGGGCATATTGATGATAACAATTACCGCTCCGTTACAAACGGCCCGGCTGATGTAGAGATGCGGCCGGAGTAGGCTTAGCTCGTGTGTAATTAGCGCTAATCAATACAATGCAATCGTCTCGGCCGCGAGATATCGGCAGGCGGTTTAAGGTGCGGATGCGATGAAGAGAGAGAAAGAGAGAAAGGGACGTCGTGCTGGCGTGCGTGTGTTTTTTCGCGATCACGACTCGATGAAGAGATGCGAATAGTCCCCGCAGCTACGAAAATACGAAAATACGTCGTGACGGAAATTCCGCGAGTCGTCTCGGTGATAATCGCCGTCATCCATCGCGATACACGTGTCGCGTTCGCTGATAATAATCGCGGATATTTATACGCGCATCTCTGCGCGCGCGGTGTCATTCTCTAACGGTAGTTTGCACATTTCGCAGTTTCTAACATTTATAGCAACGCTATAAATTGGTCTTCCTTTTCGTCTCTATATTAGAGAAAGAAACGGAACAGGCGTGCGCGTGTCGACATCACTGATGAATGCCGGCTGTCTCGGCCGATTGTAAAAATTGCACATGTTTGACAGGATACGATTGAGACGTGTGATTTACCCTGACAGTCAACGATGATTCGTGTGCCAACAGGCAGTTGACAGTGGCAACATTCAAGTTGGCACGGTACCGTCGACATTATTGATACGATTTCAAACAACTTGGTGGAGCGTTAACGCAGCCAACCACAGTTCAATACCGACAATCAACATCGGCAAGTGACGAGTACTCCTGTTAACGCCGCCTCGCGAATAAGGAACGTAGGCGCGCGTATGAACGAACGGTTATTAAAAATTTCTCGCAGGTGGCACCGCGCAACGACGGCTATTATTATTACTAGTAAGTAAATTGTGCGCGCAAAGGTAAACCGGTTGGCCGAAGGCTGACTGTTCCGTCTGATACAAAGTAACGACGAGATAAACAAAAAACACGTAAGAAGTAATCGCGCGGTGAAACATGTCGGCCGCTCCCTTCGTGCTTTTTCGCATAACGCATGACATCAGGGTCTCGTGATTCAAATCAATAGGTAAAATTTATTAGTCGCTGTCACACATTCGTGACTTCACGGTGTTGACATTTATCGTTTTATAGGAACTGTCTAAAGCTAGATATATGAAATAGTATATTTACAAGAAAGAGAGAGAGAGAGAGAGAGAGAGAGAGAGAGAGAAGAATGTGGGTCTAGACACCGATTATGTAAGTTCTCGAGATCTATCGGCAGTAGTCGATAATTTTGATAAAGAAACGAAAAGAAGATTTTTATAAAAAATTTCTCCGAAATCTGAGCGCAGTCATCACAGTTAAGTCAGAGAATTTCTCAGCAGTCGTCGGTTGTACAGAAGGTGCGGGACGCGGAAGTGGATCACAAGTCGACACCACAATGCGCCCGTAAGTCCAGTCGAACACAAAATCATGACACCTGAATGAAATTCCACGAATGACAAGCCTCGATCGATCTCTTTTCTTCCTTTTTTTCCATCACCCTCGCATACTCTCGTTACGCCGATCCTCATAATCCTCCTTATGCTAGCGAATGAGACGCTGCTTCATCTCGCAACTGATCGATCCATCGAGCGAAGAAGAAGCTGAAGCGGCCGAAAGAACTGCCGCAGCATCCTCCCCGCCGGTGCAGCGCGTCGGCCGCGACGCGCGTGGGGGTGGCGACGAGTACCTGCCGCGACTCCTCGTCGCGGGGGCGATTCCTCGGCGCAGGGCGGTTTTAGTCACTCCCACCTGTGTCGGTATCGCGCGACCACGTGGTATATCCGTCGGCGGTATTCAGGCACCGTTGACGGGCACCTCTCCACCAGCGTCGCCGTCGTCGTCGTCGTCGTTGTCGTCAGCGTCGTCGTCAACGTCATCGGCGGAGGCGTCTCCACCACCCACCCGCGCTCTCAGTGTCAAACGAACGACGCGTCTGTCGACGAGTGGCGACTGTCGCGATTACGAGAGAGAAAGATCGCTGACACGCACCATCTCCGATTAACAATATCGTCGCTGTCGCCGCGAACGCCGACGTGTCGTGTCGTGGCGCGGGGAATCGTCGTCGACAGGATCGACGACGATCTCTGGTGTGGTGTCTCGTCTCTTCTCTCCTCCACGACCGGCTCCAACTAATTGTCGCCTGCTCGACTCACGTGGCGATAGCGTCCAGAAAGTTTACGTCGGGTCGAGTCGAAGCGAACCGGTGTCCTTCAGCGGTCGGCACGATCTCGTTGTTATCGTCGTCGTCGTCGTCGAGGAGGCACCCTCGAAGTACAAGGGTATCGCCCGTCGAAAGGGAAGCTGACGAGCCTTCTGGCCTCCTCGTCGTCGAAGACGACGTGGATGTACGCGCTTCTCGGTAAGGACGACGAGATCCTCACGACCCGCGCGTAACCATCGCCCTGTGCGGAGTGCTGGTGACTCTCTCTTGTCGAGGCTTCCGGTTTCGTTAGTAGAACGAGATCGCGTCGCGTGTGTTTCGGTGAACTTTTCTAGGAAAGGGGGGAGGAGAGACGTCGTCGGTAAGCGTCAGTAAATTCGCGATGGCGAACGCGGTGATGAGTTTCCGTTAATTGTTTGCTCGACCCCGCGCATAAGTGTCGCGTAAGTGCCGATCAACGCGCGTGAAATTTATCCTTTCGTGACAGCTGTCGATCTCCTTAAGTTCCAACATGTGTCACTCGCCGTCTACTTAGCCTATTGTCATCGGTCCGCCGATCGTAGTAATCGATGGCGATAATCCCTGTGTGTTACTTTTGCGCGACGCAATCCCGCCGGATTACGAATCCTTATCGTGCATCGCATCGATACGCGACGGTCCCGCGCGGTCGCGAGTACGAATTTGCGAATCGGCGGCCGCGCCGGCTCGACAGGTTCGGAGCACTGTGGTCGGGTGTCGAGGGAAAAAAGGCCATCTCATCGAATCGGTGCTTTCTCCCGCGAGAAGTTTGTGTCGGTGACATTGTACGCCGTCATCAGGCCACGTATCGTATGATACGATTTTTTCATCGACGCATCACCGTATCGCGTTCCGTGTTGCTGAAATTCGCTCGTCGTCTCAGGTACCAGAGCGCCTCCCCCTTCGCCTGGTTACGTCGAAGTCTGCGTCGCGGTAGCTCCGTCGCGTTGACTCCCCCACAGTCGGAATCACAAAGAACGTCTTTCCGTGGAATTCCTCCCTTTTGTCTCCCGCAGTCGCTTCGCTGTTATCGTTGCTCGATAATCGACGTCAAGAAGAAGACACTTTGCATCGTACAATTGCGGCTGATAATTCGACGGCTTGCCGCCTTCGCGTTATTACCTCCTCTTACCATCCTCTCTCGGCTCTGTCGCAAATTGCAACAGGTAACAATTGTCTCGCACTCGTAGCTTCCCGCTCGTCGTAACTTCCGGATCGACAGAGAGAGAGACTCTCGTTATGCCGCACGCTGCAAAACGCGGCGGTACGCCGAAGGTCACGCCGCGTGTCGCGGCCGTCTGGAGAATGTCATTGTCGCTATTATCTTCGTCGTGTCACGTGACTGCCTAGCGAGGGATTTTATCAGATGCCCAATCAAGGTGCTGCTTGCATACCGATAAAGCGCGCGAATCTCCGTAGCAGTTTCGCACGACGCTCCAGTATCCTCTCGAGCATCGTGAACGGCGAACCGCGAGTAACGACCATTGACAGTTCTGAGCACGTGAGCGACGAGGCACATCGTCGATACACCGGCGATACGCGATGAGAAGTCATCGATGCGCTATCGAAGTCGTGACGAGGCGGATAGTCTCGTCTCGTAGCGAGTCCCTTCCGCGAGATAGAAATATCCCGTCATTTAGCCGGCAACCGTCTGTCCATCCTGCAAATTGTCCTGCAGATCCTCTCGTCTGTGAAATCGTCGCGTGCACAATGTTACCAGCCGTGATTACGGTCGACACGCGAGTCATCACTGATAATTAGTCGTTACCAATTACGTCTTAGTGCGGTGGAAACGGCGCGAAGCGTGATGCATTATGCGCTGATCGAGGCTCGATTAAGCCATTCGCATTTCGCGCGACGCGACGCCGACGTCGCACCTCAAGTCCTCGCGCATTCGCGCCATAACACTCGCAGGATTTTATTTTATGAATGAAGAAGCCAACGCGCTATGTATTCATAATACGAATACCATGAGAACGGATTCGTATTTAGCAGCGCCCGTCTACTCTAACGCGATCTGAAGACGAAGACGCGTCTGAAATATTACCCCGAGGGGGAAACATCTCTTTTTTTCGCATCTATCGCGGCTCACGTTCTCACCCCGGAACTAGTCCACCGAGCCGAGAGAAATAAATAGAGAGAGAGAGAGAGAGAGAGAGAGAGAGAGAGGGATCTCAACTGTCAGACTCTCGAGTCGCCTGGAGTCGAGTCCGAAGCCTCGGAGAAACGTTCATTCGCCGCGAACCGCACGGCGGTTTCTTGCACCTCCGAGCTGTCGGCGTCCGGACGCGTAATATGCCGCGCGGCGGCAGTACCGCGACGCGAGCTCGAGCGCGCGAAATGTCATAAAAACGCGGAATTGCCTCGACAAGCGGCGGCAGGAGCGGGAGGAGGCAGAGTAATTAATGCGCGTCCGAAGGCGCGTGCGATTCGCCATGGGCCGGTCATGCGCGCCCGCGCGCGCGCGCCGTTGATTAATTACTGATTTCGTCGTCCGCCCGTCTTTTCCCCGGCCGATCTGGAGCCGATTGCGCAAAGTTCCTTTGTACGAGCGCCTCTTCTCGGGCCGCAACGCGCGCGAGCGCGCGGGCGGTAGGCGGCTCGCTCGGAGAGCGATGAGCGCGTTGCTGACGCGCGAAATTTTTCGAACGGCGCCGAACGGCGCATATTAACGTCGCTCGCGCGCGACGAATTGACCTTTCGCATTCGCCGGTTCGGTTGCTGACACCGGCCGTGCAATTTACGTGAGGCCGATCCTCCCGCGAGGATCTTCTCTCCCGCCGCCCTCGTCGACGTGCCACAGGCGAGACACGCGGCTCTAGCAGGCTTCTTTCTTCCCGTCTGTTTTCCCTCTCGTTCGCTCCAAGCAACGCACGCTGACGAATGACGAATGATTATTGCGTCATCGTTAACGCTCCTCTGCGTGCTGTCGGCAGTAGTTGATCGTCGCATTCTGGAGTAGCGGCATCCGACAATACGTGCCCGGATCGCATCCGCGATCACGGCATTGGCGCGTTGCCGCTCAAGGCCGGGGATTATTGTTCGTGCGACAGATTTGTTTGCTCGTCTCTCGTGTTCTCTCCTTGGGTGAGATCGCGCGCGGTGAGGTGCGCGCTACCGTCTCGCGAGTTCTCGCTCGGGATCGCCGCGACGCGTCGCCTTGGCGCCGCGTAGTGTCAAGGGAGATCCGAACGCCATCTTCTCTTTCCGTTATTATTGCTCGCGACGGACGCGATAACACGCTCGTTGTTTATCGCCGAGACGCGTGCGGTTCTCTCTCGTCGATACCTATGCATTTGGTGCTAATCGTCGCTCGTCTAAATGGGAGCCGGTCGGTTTGGAAAGTCGCGCGCTTTGCATCCGCGCGGGCCGGCAAGTGGATAATTATGCCCTGGCCTGAGATGATTGCCCCGATAGTGGCTCAGCATGTTTAACATTACGCAAATTTCTCGCGCTCTTCGGCGCGATTAAGCGTCCCGCCGTAGTCGATCGCGCTGCGCACTTGCGCGCCGGCTCGGCGAGTCACGTAAGGATTTAATCACGCGTCTGACGAAACGGAAACTACGGTCGTTTCTTCTCTTTTTTTCTCCCTTTCCTTTGGCCCCGTCTCGTTTGATTATTATAAACGCGGCCGTGTTGTACGCCACGTGTTTTCCTGTAATTCCGCGACAAGTGCGCACGAGGGTTGCTACACGAGGAGGAAATACCGCGCGTATCGGTGTCGTGCGCGAAAGCAATCCGCCAAGTAGAAGCAATCAGAGCGCGGGCCCGGTGCTTTCGCGCAGAGTTTGTAAGTTCATTTCGCAGGCTCGCTCGCTCGCTCGCTCGCTTCGCAAGTTCGTCTTGACTCGCGAGGACACGACCTCAGACGCGTCCTCGGACGCGCAATTACCGCTGAGACAAGAGAAGCACCCCGCACGTCGCGAGCATCCCTGCGACTCGCCTCCGCCGAGACTCTAACCTCTTCCCCTGGGAATCCCGCCCCCAACATCCAACACCTGCTCTTGTCTGTCGTTCTGCAGACGAGGGTGGTTTACTACCGGACAGCAGCAGTGGCGTCGTCGAGAATGACGCGGTGGTCGCGGGCGATGGCGCCTGCGTGAACGGTCGTCTCCTCCACTATCATCACCACCATCAGCACCATCCCCAGCATCGTCACCATCATCGTCACCACCATCGCGAGCTGCAGCAGCAGCAGCAGCAGCAGCAGCAGCAGCAGCAACAGCCGCAACCACAGCCGCAACACTCGCCGGAACCCGAGCCGGAGCTGGACGATCTCCTGCGCTTCCGCGGGTCCACAGGACAGGAGATGGTCGTGCAGGAAATGGCACAGGGCTATACGCAGCTCCTTCACACGGCCCAGGAGCCGCAGGAGTTCATCTCGCTGGACGAGCTGCCGCGCGTCCATCAGGAGCACCACCGTGTGCATGACACGTGCGCGCAAATCGCCTCGTCCGCCTCCCAGCTCTATCAGTACCATCAGCCGCAGCAACGTGGCAGCCATCAGCAACAACAGCAGCAGGAGCAACGGAATTACTATAGTCTCTCGACCGTGCAAGAGTAAGTTCGACTGTGCCATTGTTGTTCCGTGTATCGCGCGCGAACGCACTTGCTGTCCCCGTGAAGAATATGAATGACTAGAAGGACGATCGTCGCAGAGGCTCGTACACATGCTTGAATCGGCGACGGTCGCGTGAATGAATAAACGAAAGAGTGCAAAGCGCGCACGTGTATGCGTAATAAAATAAATCGATATTAATATGCGTGAATGCGTGGCGCGAAGTCGGAGCGAGAGTCCGAGCGTTTTCAGTAAGTTTCGCAGTTTGCGTCTTCAGCAGGTTTTAGTCTTGTAGGTCTCGCCTACAATGGATGATTTAAGTTTTAAGAAACTGACCAATTGTAGTCGAACATTCTTCTTAACATTGTCTGCGATCGATCAATTTCTTAAGACTTCAGGCTTAAAGTATCAATTTAAGTTGTAATTTCTAGCTTTAAGTAAATTGAGCAATTCCCAACACGTTAAATATAAGCGCTTTAAACCTTAAGCACACCTTGAGAAACTGACCAATCGCAATCAAAGTTAAGGAGAATATTCGATCGGTCAATTTCTTAAAGCTTAAGTCATCTGTTAGTAGACTTAAGCCTTAAGGACGATATTAGAGAGAGACTCGGCGGACAGGCTGGCCGATCGAGCAGCCGATTGTTTGTTCTTCTCTTCTTTTGTTTTTCTCTTCTTCAACAAATCCACAGCTTTTCTGAGTAAGACAGAAGGTCTGCGACAGTCACATCGGCAATTCATCGCTCACGCTTTGACGGATTCGCGTGGCGCGTTAACGGTGACGCGGGTTTAACGAGTCTCTCGGTGACGTCGATGCGTCGAAGCCGATCGGTATCGATTAATCGCCGTCCCCGTGGGCTGCTCGCGGTTTCAGCGCGACGCACTGTTGGCCATTTTCGATCACTGTGGCGTAACGACGGGCCCACCTACGGGGTTTCCTCTCGCTTTCCATTCTTCTCTCTCTTTTTCTCCCTTCTCCCCCGTGTGGGAACGCGGGATCGGCCCGATGCCCGACATTTCGTACGAGCGTATTGCGCAATACATCTTTATCATTGTCTCCCGGCGCCGGCGAGAAACGCGCAAAACGCGTTTTCCTGCCGATCGGATGCACTTTCTCGCTCGGCCGTGGCGACACCTGCGACGTGAAATCACTCTGTCGGCGTGCCGAGCGTGCGCGACCGGGTAAACAGCGTGTATAATTCGCGATTTACCTTGATAAGCTTGGCGAATGCGATTAGACTTTAAGTGCGATCAGACCGCGATCCGGCTCGCTCGCTCGCTCGCTCGCTCGCTCGCTCGATGAAAGTCTGAGTTCGCGGGAAAAGTCAAACAAGCAACATTGACGGCGAGTCGCATCGTCCCGCCTCGCCGCGGCTCTCGCGGAGCTCTCTCGGCTCCGACGGGCTCGTGCCGCATGAATAATAAGCCGCGTGTTCGTCGTCATTATGTAATCGTCACGAGCGCGAGCCGAATTGCGCGGGACAGGTACGCGGAGAATTTCTGCGGCGCGACTGATCGAGGTGAACTTGCTTAAATCATGAACGACGCAGATAAGCCGACGTCTGCCGACGTGAACAGAAGTGCACGCACGACCGAGAGACTCGGCTGGATCCGCAAGGTTGTAGTCTCACCTCGAGCGACAGATACAGCGCAACTCGCCCGAGCTCCCACCTGTCGCGTCGCAGCCGACATGACGTGTCGCCGCGTCGCGCGATGGTGTCGCTCTATCTACGAATAAATAGAATTACGCTAATCGCCTGCATTACATCATAATACACGGAACTGCCCGCGTACTCGCCAATAGCGAGATAACTGCAGCAGCAGATCCTCCGCTTCTCTCTTGTTTGTGTTTTTCTCTCCTTTTCATTACTCGCATTCACGGTCTCTGCACGAGTGTCATCGCGACCGACGACGGGACGACAATATCTCGGTTCTTCGCCGAGAGGTCGACTCCCGAGAGGAAGTCCCGTGTCGAGGCTTTTCGACGCCGCGAAAGTTTCGAACGTCGCGATAATCCGCGCTTATCCGCATGATGCATAATATCGCCGGTGTTGTATCCTTGCGCGCTCGGATTCCGTTTACGAGGCGACGCGACGGCGCACTCGAGATTTAATCGGCGCGACGACGAAAGGTCTCATGTACGGCCGAGCGAGTAAGACAAATCGGGAGATTGGATCGATATCGCTCGCAGGAGCCATAGATCGCGAGATCGATGACGATAGTTCAATACTCCCGGACTTGGCGCTGCCACAACTATATATTATACGCCCCGTACGCCAGATTAGTGATTATCTGTATGCAAAATGCGTTCCCATACGGCCGTAACTTTTGCCGTCCCCGTTCGGCCGCAATTTTTAAAATACCTCCGGAGAAAAAAGAACCCGCTGATAAGTGGTCCGCACGTATCCAGAGAGAGAAGATAATCATAAGGAATTTGAATAATCACCCGGCGCGCGGATTATCGACGCAGCAAAATCAATCGACCTCTCTCTCTCTCTCTCTCTCTCTCTCTCGAGAGAGAGAGAGAGAGAGAGAGAGAGAGAGATTATATAATCCTTCCTCTATAATAATTGCGTGAGATCGGACATGCGGAGTTTGGGAGGATTTTTCTCACGCGTGCGAGATTCTTCCTCGGGGCAACGCGAAAATTTAACCGTATGTTCTGCAAGCGGTTTGTACTTATTATTCCATCTAACGAGACGGCTTCATCGATTTAATCTTCAAACAGCACGTCTGGATTTGAGCGTTCTTTCTTTTCTCTCTTCCTCTGCCTCTCTCTCTCTCTCTCTCTCTCTCTCTCTCTTTTTCTTTCTCTCTCTTTCTCTCGATATCGTAAACTGTAACTTTCGAAATAAAATATATCAGTGGCATTTTTTAAACATCAATTTTAAATATCACGGTTACTTTTTACAGATATTACACATCGTGAGTCATATGTATATGATTTTTTTATATACACGCAGAAATATCAAGGAAGATTGATTATAAATGCGTAACGCTGACGTTTCTCTCGGTCAAATTGATAAAGTCTCTCCGTAATATGACGTCGATCACTCTCGACAATCCGTTTTCTCCACAGTCGCCGATTTTCGATGTGACAATCGAAACGTCATTTTTCCTCACCCTTGTGCCTTTTTCTCTTGCTCTAATCTTCATCTTGAAACTTAACTTGCAGAAGTTCCTGCCCCACGGTTTATTTTGGCGAAATAGGCACGGGTTCCGGGGTGGGAGAGTTAACCGCCGCCTCGGCGGGGGGTGGCGAAGGTCTCGCCCCGACTCCAACCCCCGCCAGCAACAGCAGCAGCAATACCGCCACCCCCAGCAGCCCAAGCGCGACCACTACAACCACCAGCAGCACCACCACCACCAGCACCACCACCGCCACCACCACCGCCACCTCCACCAGCACCGCTACCATCCCTCAAGTTGCAACAGGGGCTGAACCGCCCCAGCACATGGAGACACCCCCGACGATGGTCCCCGACCAGGCACCCGCCTCCGGCCATCACTATCACCATCACCACCATCATCATCATCATCATCATCGGCATCATCGTAGCACGTCCACCACACCCAGCCATGGACCGGCGACTGACATCTCGGATGAGTATGCACCGGTGTCCAGAAAGCGGAAGCTTTCCTGCCAGTAAGTTAAACTCGATAACTTGTTAGAACACCCCGGAGGATCTCTCTCGACGGCGACGATGTCACGGGGGAAGCTAATGAGAATGATGCTCGCGCGTCTCGGAGCTAACAATATCCGTTATACTTATTTCGGATCTCTAAGCGAGAATTCAATGGCAAGAGACGGTCTGCTACCGACAAAGCGCTACCGACTCGTGTCTCATGGACTCGTGTAGTCATGGAAGTCATATCGAGATATTACACATTAAACTGACGCGCGTCGCACGCGCGGAACACGGCGAAACGAAGCCGGCCAAATGTATCCGCCAAGTCTGGAATCTCGCGTACCGTGTGCAAACAACTCGACAACAACCGCCATCCCCCATCTGCCACCTTCTCTCGATACTCATCGATGTCGATGTTTCGAGATGTTTCGCGTTAAACGTCGGGGTAGTTTCGAGTAATTACCAATCAGGCTATCGAGTACGCAGTCAAAGGGTTAACTTAATCATTGATGGAACGGAAGATTTACCTCTGTTGCTCTTTCTCACTCTCTCTCTCTCTCTCTCTCTCTCTCGCTCTTCTCTCTTTCTCCATCTGGAAGGAGAGAGGGAGGAAGAGATTAGTCTCCGAGATTAGTCGAAATCAGCATGGGCAATTATCTCCATTGCTTCCAAACACTCGTCAACACTGGTCACTCGTCGAACAGCATCGTTCGAAAATTGCGCTTTTCTCACGACGACGCGACTTCAAGCATCGCCATCGAGCGATGCCTCGGCGCTTGCATCATCCGTGTGTCGCGCGTGTGTCCACCTCGCTCTTCTTTCACCTCGCTCGCTAATGAAGAGCGGAGTGCGGCACATTTATTTTGCATAATATTTTATTTTGAGAGTTATTTTGAGAAATGTGTGTGCTACCATTATGAAGACAAATACGTGTCAGACTTGAAAGCTTGTTCCTCGTCATTGATACGTCGCGTCGGACGAGGCGACACGCGTTTCTCTCCTTATAAATATTTATATTTATAAGGTGCGTCTCATTCTCCGTCGCGGAACCTTCCGTGACGCGGAGATCTACGCCGATTCGCGTTTCCCCGCGAGAACGCGAGAAACCCGAGCGTGACTCTTCGAGCCCGAGACACAAAAGAAGCGGGGAAGCTCTACCGCGGGCGAAACTTGACGAAATTCGCCGTCAAAGGGGTAACACCCTCCGCGAAGGTCGCACGCCGAAGAAATTGTTTCTCTCTGATGTCTCGACCGAATTCGGTGGCCGCAGAGGGACTTCGTCAATTACGCGCTCGGATTGCTATATGCGCGCGTTCGAAGGCAAATCAGCGAAATGTCTCGGCAATACGAGCCGAGACAGAACCGTGTAGGGACATAGCATTTAGCTATTGAGCGGCCGTTTATCGCGCAATGACGGCGTAAATATTACCCTCGTCGATTACGTCCGCGATATTAATTGGCGATTTCATCTCGATACGTCACACATATCGGATATTTAATCTTGCCGCATGACAGAAGCTCGATGAAGAAGCTCGACCGGCGTCTGTTTCAGTGTTGGAAGCGATCTCTTGGACGACCTCGGAGACGACGCCAAATCCGTTCGCACAAATGACGACAGTAAAAAGTAAGTGAAGACAATGTGTGTATCGTGACGTTGCGTCGCGCGTTGCGACGAGGAATCGCGCGCGATTTCCGATTGAGTCACTTCGCGGCTCAATCGATCCGTGCTTTTAACGCTGCCTCGGTCAGCGGTTACGCGGTATTATGTCAGATATTGCCAAGGTGAGTACCACCTTGACCTACCTCGATTCTTTGCTCCGGCTTCATCAGCGACGTCACTAATCCAATGTACCTGCCGTGCCGTGATGCGAGCCACCCGGCGCGCTCGTGTTCGATTGCGACACGTTCTCCTCGGTTCGTTCTCGCCTCGTGCTGACGCGCTCCTCTATTTTCGCGGTAACGATCAACGGTCGGTGGGATTGAGAGACCGAGTGTGAACCGGGTGAACCGGGCGAATTCGCAGTCGCGCTTAGTCGGGATTATCCAGCGGAAAACGTCTCGAGAGCCGGCCCTGAAATCTCTCGGTCGCGCGCCTCCGCCTGTCTTCCCGAGATATTTTGAGTGTCGTATTCGCGACGTTTTCTCTTTCTTACGATTGAAAATCATATTTCATGAATATGTATTTTATGAATGTCGGAATTTTATCGTGACACATGTTCCGTAATAGAGCGGCTGTCGGCGCAGCGATTTAAAACCCTAGTTCCCCGGGCCGCTGTTTACGTTCTACAGATCCGCTGACGGCGACAGAAAAATCCAGCGGATATTACGATATGTATTACGATACATTCGCGCGGATCTGGATGAAATTACGCGAGCATGGTCCGACATACAGTTAACCGAAACCAGTTTCTCGCCGCGGCGATTTCCGCTGACCAATTGATCCCCCCGCGCGATATGAATGCGAATTCTTGGCTGACAAATCAGCGGTGGTGTGCGCGCGCGCGCGCTCTGAAAAGCGTCGTTTACTGGTTGAATCGCTCCGGCACAATTGACACATACGGCCTCATTGTCGATCGCGCTCGACGTCGTCGAGAGGCACACGACCGCTCGACCTCGCCGTATCCCCCCACTGTCAGGAAAGTCAGCGATTTCGGTTGAAAACACACGCGATGGTGAATCAGGCGTTTCGCACGCGCGCTCGCACGGAGAAAAATCCGCTGGTGTGTCGACTCCGTTCGACTGCGTCGTTCGACCGCGCGCGAAAACGTCGTCGCGCATTCCGAACCGTTTGCACGAAAGACGAAGGACGAAGAACGGCGATGAGCGTAATCAGAATCCGCGTGACATTTAATCGCTCGCACTTGAGATTGCACGGCAGGAGAACGTGGAGAGGTGTGGAAATTTCAGTAAACTATAAAAAAAAGACGTCGAGTGTGAAAAGATGCCTGCGCGTGATTTGTATTGGTATCGTCGGCGGAATGCTCATAAAACTCGCATCTCTCAATCCCATCTCGCGCAATCCCGCGAATCGTTAGGCGTTTGCGTTAGGCGATCAATTAGAGGCGATTCGGGACGAAGGATACGAATGGAGGTTTCACACGGCGTTAATTAACACGGAAAGCAAAAAGTTGTTTCGGCGATTTTCATCTCGCTTCTAACGCGCCGTTAACGAGTCGATAGATAGCGGACACTCGACTCGCTATCGCGGGGACATAATTTCCAGTCACGATCTCGTATTACGAGTCTCGCAGTTTTATGCGGGAGCGACCGGGTCCTGCGTGTCTCGTTAAATTTTATACAGATAATAGATTGCGCGCGCGTTTATCTAGAAGTCTCTCCTCGAGAGGTCGTAGACACCCGTGTTGCATGCATCGCCTGTATCGCCACAATGACGGGACGGTGTGCTGATGATCTTCGGCGTTTCCGTCGCACTTTCAGGCAGAACCACAGCGAGATCGAGAAGCGCAGGAGGGACAAGATGAACACGTACATCACCGAGCTGTCGGCAATGGTGCCGATGTGTCACGCGATGTCGCGGAAGCTGGACAAGCTGACAGTACTGAGGATGGCGGTGCAGCACCTCAAGACCATCCTCGGTGCCGTCACCTCGTACACGGAAGGTCACTACAAGCCCGCGTTTCTCAGCGACCAGGAACTCAAGACACTCATACTTCAAGTGAGCCCGCAACCCAAGCGATACCCTGGAAACGACTCCTCGCGCGAATCACGGTTACTTTTTAATCTCTACCGAATTACCGATTTAATTAACTCTGAATCAATCAATTCGTTTCCGCGGCAGCCGCGCGCAGAGCAGAGAAACCCAATCGTGCGAAAATCACGACGAACGTTTTCAGAACGTTTCCTCTGTCTCTTCCGTGAATTTCCGTTTTATCTCTCGACCATGCTCGACGCGAACTCGAAGTTCACTTCGACGACACGCAAATTTTTGCCCCGGGGCTACACCGTTTGAGGCGGTCGGTGTCTTTTGTAATTCTTTCGCGGCGAGATCGCGAGCGCAGCGAAACCGCCGGGTAACTCCCTTTCTCCCGCGTGCTGCGGATTTTTACCGGGACGTGGTCTCGTGCCGGCGAAAGGAAAGGTTTCAGGCATGTAGATTTATAGTATCGCGCTAATAGTACCCTGTGTGTTTGTGTGTGTGAGCCGAGGCGCTCGAATCACCTACGCCTTTAATTCCAAGCCAATTAGCGCGAGAGAGGTTCCCGCTGGAACGTGCGTCGACGGACGGGATATTTTCTCCCGTCTCGCGGACGTGAGCTTTACATGTTTACTCGTGCTCGCTCGCTCCTTCGTTCGATTTTACTCGTGCTCTTGCGCAATCGTAAGCGTGTCGATAACTCCAGCACCAGTCTGGATTCCGTCTCGTGGCACACTGTTCGAATCGCTGCGAATCCGCGCGGCGGACGCCGAGCAGCCGATCGAGCAGCAGGCTGTCGAACATTTCTCATTGTCGTGTGTACACCGCGCGCGCACACGCGTTTATCTTTTATCGGGTCTTTCCCGCGAGCGCGCGCGCGCGCGCGAGCGCGAGCGCGAGCGTTCGTATTCCTCGTAGGAAAGTATCCGAAGTGAATGACCACGCCCGGCATACCGAGTCAGATCGCGGGGCCCGCTGCGTGATTCTGAACGCGCATAATCGCGCGCGGCATTAAAGCCCCATTGTGAATCGGTGCGCGTTTTATTATCGACGAGATCCGGCCGCGCACGCGCGCGCGGCCGAGTCCGACGCCGAGAGAGTTTCGCCGTCATATCGCGCGTCTATAAGGCGCAAAAAGCGCTCGTTCTTACGATCGTTACGACGTGCTTTTAAAGTCCAGGAACCGTCGTAACGCGCGCGTTTATTGCGCGCCCGCGTCGATAACGCGCGCTCGAGGAGGTATGTATCTCCGCGCGGCGAGGAAAGAAAGGCTCGCCCGCGCGCGGTGTTTGGACGTTTCCGCGAATGATACCTCTCTCGGCTTCTCTCTGAGGCCCGTCGAAAAGGAAAGGAAAGGGAAGGTAAGGAAAGGAAAGAAGGAAACGAGAAGACACTGGGGAGACGCATAGGTGTGAGAGAATAACGGTCGAGCGACGGTGAATGAACGGCGCGCACGAGCGCGCGCGTTCACGGCACACGCGCTTTTAAAGCAGCGTGCGCGCGCGCACGATGCATTGACATTAACGAATGTTACACGCGATCGACGGTGTATCGAGGCCCCCATGAACGCCCCACGGGTTACGCAATGCGAGACGCTATTAAGCTAGCTTAGCTGGTGCGCGATAAATGCGATAAATGTGATACCGCTCTCGGAGCCCGAGCGATATATCGGGGCGATTATGCTGCCCGTGGAAGCGCGAACGTCCGGCGAATGAGAAATGTCGCGCGTGGGTGACATTTTTCGCGAACGGCTGGATAAACGAAAGACTCGGGCTCTCGGCCCCGCCGAGCTTGTTGGCGGCTCGCTACGACGCCGCCGACATGAGCCGTCGAACTGTCGCTTCGCGAGAAGTCGCGCGGCGCACCGTTCAATCACCGATGCACAATAGCGCACGTTGCGCAAGATCACATCTCTGCGCGAGGTAGCGCGAGGCGCGTCGCTTTGTCTTCAACTTGTTGCGGGTGAGACGCTAATTGCGCGCGCGCGCGGAGATCGCAGCTGAGCGGCTGAATCGGCTCGAATTGCGCTCGTTCGTTTGTACGTTGTTAGAGAAACGTTCATTCGCACCTCGCGCCTGCAATTTGCTTCTCATTGTCCCGGTGTTCCCCCCCCCTCCCCCCACTTTAGTTTGCAATCTTTCAGCGTCTGATCATTCCTGTGACGAAATCTCGCGACGAGCCGCGACTGCAAATGACGTTCGTGAAACCGATAAAAGCCAGAGAGAGCATTTTCATTTTCATCTCGCACGGGTTGTCAGCGGTGTCACCGGTGTGTCACGACATGTTAAGGAGATGGGAATTGAGTGTTACGCTGTGGACAGCTCGTGACGAGCGAGTTTGTCGCGAGACGATCGCCTGGCGATTGCAATTAACGCTCAAACTCAACGGCGTAACGGAAAGCAGCTTGTCTTGTTTCAGGCCGCGGAGGGCTTCGTCTTCGTGGTGGGCTGTGATCGTGGAAGAATTCTCTACGTGTCCGAGTCCGTCTCGCAGACTCTCAATTATTCTCAGGTACTGGGTTACGCCGTTATTTAGGTCTCAAGTGTCTTCCCTCAGGCCGTGTCGCGAAACTTCTATCAGCCGTGCGACGCGCGCGGCGAAAAATATCAAGTTGCGCGTTAGAGCGCGTTCGCGAGCGAGCTAACTCGGTACGATCGCGAATTAATCGCGTCGCTCACGGCATCGTTAGCCTCTGTCTGAATAATGCCTACCGCGTTTGTTTTTCACTAATTCTAAATTATGCCTCTCCTCGAGCGCACATGCGGTGGCAATCGCCGTCACCGTGATATCGCAACGTTTTAATTTACCGCTTGCCGGATCAGCTGATCGCCGCGCGAATTAATCGGATTCTTTCGCTTATCGAAAGTCATCGCAACGTCTTCGAGTGACTGGCGCGTCGCGAATTCAAACACACGCAAAAGACACGCGGATAACAACAACGTCCTTTGAATCATAGAATGTTAATATTGATCGTTAATATTAATATTCATTGCGTACGACTGCAGTGTGACTGCAAAATCGCTTTGAAATTCTTTCCTTATTGCACTCGACCGAGCCAATGAGATGTTTGTATCGTCGCAGGGTGATCTACTGGGTCAGAGCTGGTTCGACATCCTGCATCCCAAGGATGTCGCCAAAGTGAAGGAGCAGCTCTCGTCGTCCGACCTAAGTCCGCGGGAGCGACTGATCGATGCGAAAAGTGAGTCTCGCCAGGAAGCAATTCTCGGCTGCGTTCCGCCGCGACGCGACGCGACGCCGCGGCTCGAAATCACCGCGTGGTAAACCGAACGGGTTCGCGCGCGCGCGAGCGATAATTTCTCCGGAGATCGCGGAGAGACTTTCCACCTTCGAAGCTATTAATTATAGCGTCTTGCGACGTTACCTCACCGCGCTCGGCGCGTCGATCATACGAGCACGAATGATTCGCGCGCGCGCGTGTGCGCATCTCTTCCACCTTCACCTGATAAATGTCAGTCGCCCGGCAGCATTTGCTCGTAAGCTCTGTCGATAAACATCTTTGAATTAGCGTGCCTAGATAAGCGCATTGCGAAAGTTCGTAGCACTGAATGAGGCGAGGGGACGACGAATCGTCGATCGAATCTAATGTCAGGATTCTTCGGATCGCGCGCGGTTGCGCGCGATCGCGACGTGAAACCTTTCCTCGATCTCCCAGATGTTCGAAAAGTACTTGGAAATTTTAGCGTAAGAGAGAGAGAGAGAGAGAGAGAGAGAGAGAGAGGCAAACGACGCGACTAGAAACGTAACGAAAGAAGAGAGAGAGAGAGAGAGAAACGCGAGAAGAAGAGGCGGCGGGCGATGTGAATGGACGGAGGAACAACAGCGACGAGCAGGCTGTTACTGTCGTCGTGATTGTTTCAGCGATGTTACCGGTGAAAACTGACGTGCCCCAAGGCGTATCACGACTTTGCCCCGGTGCACGGAGATCCTTCTTCTGTCGGATGAAGCGTAAGGTCGAGGGGGTCCGTTGCGGTGAGATGCAAGTGAAAGAGGAAGCCGACACTACTACTGGCTGCCACAGGCGAAAGAAGCAGCAAAACGTAGGTGAGTACGTTCATTATCATATACGAATCTCGCGATCGCGAGAGCGACCCGGGGCCGCTCTCGATGCTCGTCCCGCGCGCGTGCATTCAGAAGGGGAAATGAATTTTCACATCGGAAGACTCGAATCTGTCAGCGCCGGAGAGCGCGAATGTGCAAGAGTGCGATCCGTAGAAAGATTCCAAAGATCAAGCTGTCGCACATCCGGGGATATTCGGTAGCGAGAGAAATGCGCTTGCGACGGCTTCAGAGATCAGAGATCAGGCTCTCCCTCGTGGAAACGTGTATCGCGAATGAAAGCGTGATCTGTTTGCATGATCGATCGTTGCGCGCCCCTAAAGCCCGATGTAACCTTGTATATTTTTGGAAAGGAATTTTTCCGACTCGTAGAAAAGTTGACTCCACTCTCCGATGACGGATTCAATCTTCTTTCAAGAGGCAAAGCGAAAGCAGCCCGTGGGAAGGGACTGCGAGAAACTGTTTGAAACGAGGGGTACAAACGCGAGCGCGTCTTCTTTCGGACACTGAGAGAGCCGCACGCACGATCGGAGACACGGCACGAGCATTATGCCGCGTGGCTCGTCAAAGGTGAAAAGTGGAGACGTGTAATATCTCGCCGGTGACCGGTGAAAGGATCGCCGATATGTACTCATCAAATGTCTCGCCGGCGGGTCTCGATCGCACCTTCCCGTTCAGCGCGTCTCCCACGATTCCTCGTCTTCCATCTAATCGATATATCGTCCATTTGCAATTGTAATTAACGCGCGATTGTAACGCGTGCCCCCCGGCGTGTCATTCGCAAGTCGCAGACGCGGCCTTGGTCGGCATCAGCAAAAGGTAGACAATACCTTCTATTTTCTAGATTGGAAATACTGCGTGATCCAGTGCACGGGTTACCTCAAGTCCTGGGCGCCTGCGAAGATCGGTCTCGAGGAGCAGGAAGGTGAGGCCGATGGTGAGGCCTGCAATCTATCTTGCCTGGTCGCGGTGGGTCGGATCCAAACGGCGATATCGACAGCCGCCTTGCCGTCGAGGAAGCCTCATTTGAGGCCTATACAATTCGTGTCGCGACACGCGATGGACGGCAAATTTCTCTTCGTCGACCAAAGGTCGGTACATCCAAGTGTAGAATCATTGATAAACTCGTCGAGATCCGATGATGAGAGAGAGAGAAAGAGAGAGAGAGAGAAGAGAGAGAGAGAGAGAGAGAGAGAGAGAGAGAGAGAGAGAGAGAGAGAGAGAGAGAGAGAGAGAGAGAGAGTAATTTTTTCTCAATTCAGAGCTACTCCAGTATTGGGCTTTCTACCTCAGGAATTACTGGGCACCAGTATGTACGAATACTATCACCACGACGACATTCCTCATTTGGCGGAATCTCACAAAGCCGCCTTGCAGACCACCGAGCGCGTTACCACGCAGGTAATCATCAATCTCAATCGCTGGTTTCGCTCACTAGGCGCTCCTTCGCCATGAACATCGACCTGATATTAATGATATTAAAATTGTTGATAACGCGTCAAGCGCACGGACGCAGACGCTATGATACGCTATGGTGCGCTATCTTCTTCCTCCCGATCGCGAGCACGCATTTTCATTTTCCAACACGACGGATCTATGCAACTAACGTTCGCGCGACCGAACGATTCCGCGATGCTCTGTATGTTACGCATGACGAAATCTCGTTCCCGTCGCTTGCAGATCTATAGGTTTAGGAGCAAGGGCGCGAATTTTGTGAGACTGCAGTCCGAGTGGAAGTCCTTCAGGAATCCGTGGACCAAAGACATCGAGTATCTAATTGCCAAGAATTCTGCCATCTTGTAAGCTACGTTTCTCCATTCTCTTCACCACATTCGAGTGACGACACCGTATGATTAATCATGTCTCTTCGTCCGCTTTCTCAGCTGCGACATGCGTCCAGGTGGGAATAACGGATCCGAGGACTCGAGCGTGCAGGGCAATTACGATTACTTCACACAAAGTAAGTGATATCTCAGAGATATGACGTGTGATTTGATCGCTGACGGAATTGATGGACAACATGAATTTATCCTGCTCGCAGGTAACGGTGGATTAGAAAGACTGATCTCGAGCCACGTGGAGGTAAGTAAGATCGGCCGGCAAATAGCGGAAGAGGTACTAGACCTTCAAAGACGCGGCGAGGACTCTTCCTCGGGTAGTAGTCCGGGTCCAACAACGGAGCCTGGTTTATTAAATACCGAGGTAAATACGTTTTAACGAGGCTAAAGTCAATTGACGTCTTAATGTTCTGCTCTCAATTGAAGATGCAAATCACGACAACGGCGTCGCCGGAGAGGATCCCCGATGTGTCTCAGTCGGGCATTGGCAGCGACAACAGCAGCAGCAATCCGACATCGACGTTCAACCACGTAGCGAACAACGTGCAGCTCAACAGCATCGCGAACGACCAAGGTCATAGCTATTACTGTCTCTAAGGAGTCGTTTCTCGGTGTGTGTAGTGCGATTGCCGAAATTATTGAGAAGAGATATAGAGATAAAGAGCGCCCGTCTGATTAGGAGGAAACGTCCACACGTTCGAGTGTGGCAAAAATCTAAAGAGATCAAGGGAAATCGCGGCTTTTCATACGTTTCTCTGCCTTCTTCATACTTTGATGTAATCTAATTCTCGCAGAATTAGATATTACGAGGGACGAATTGGAAACGATTGGTACTGCAAACGATTGGTACGGCTACAGTTACAAGTTGTAGAGTCGGTCGATGTCGGTCACCACCACCTCATGTTAATATTAGCGATATCACGCACAACGTAACATCCACCTCCTTTCAGGAGCGTCACCAGATGAGGAAATGATGGACATGATCGGCGGTACCGCGATTAACGAATCGCCGAATCCGATCCCGTCCGACGGCAACGACGAGGCAGCGATGGCTGTTATCATGAGTCTCTTGGAAGCCGACGCGGGCTTGGGCGGTCCCGTGGACTTTTCCGGATTGCCCTGGCCGTTGCCATAGTGCATGCTCATTTTAGTCCGCGATTAAAGGAGCGTTGGATGAGAACGAAACTCTTTATTGAGGAAACCCTTGAACGTTGATAGTTACGGGACTACTGGTGCTAAAATGGTGCTTTAAGGAATAAAAACTCTCTAAGTTAAGCGAATTGTAGCTTCCAAATGAAACTATCGACACACGACTCGACTAGCGATCGTTCCTTTCGCCGGGAGACGGTCGGCAGTGGAGATGTCGTCCGTTCTTCTTTCTTTTTCTATCGTGGATTTGTAAAACTATACATATATATGTAAGACTATACCCGTTTTCAATCTTTTCGAGAAAAGGGCGTTTATGCGACAAGCTGATTCGTATATCCGTATCGTAACGCCGGAGAACGTACAGACGACAAAATGCTCCTATGTGGATCACAGTAATGATAATGGTGCGGACGATAACGTGCGAACGATAAGTACATTTTAGTGACAAATTGACATTATACGTGTAAATATGTAACACATGTGTACGAGCGATAAAACACGTTTAAGTGTACCTAATTAAATCATAAGTCATATCCGTATGGGAAAAGGACTATGTCAATGAAAAGTGTTGAGGAAAGTCTCGATGTGAAGTGAGTAATAATTACCGTTAAGACAAATTTGTAGTTAAGATTACGGGAGCATCTTCTATTTTTCACTGCTCTGACACGGATATTGGCAGTTGAACGAAAGCGGTAAAAAAGATCGAATGACCTCTTAGAATCTACATGTTTCGTCTTTCTTTTAAAGTACAGTGAGAAAGATCGTTGATTGTCAGTGGAGCGCCAACAAAAATAACAATTATAAATTATACATATAAATGGTCTTGAAAATAAAATCTTTTAATTCACAGAACGTACAAGATGGCAATTTTTGTTCGTCGTGCACATGGATCTCTGAGATGTATACATCTTATCTGTATGACAAAGTAAAAACATCGTGTCTAGCTTATTACTATAAATCTTAATTCGATTAAATCTTTATATCTTGACTTACAATCGATTTATACATACGATCGGAATATCGTTCAACGAATCTATGAGCTTTACTTCCGCATATAATGTACAATACGAAACTTATAAAAATATTACATCGAGAAAAACAAATAGAATACGGTATGTAGTAAAAATTAATGTAAATAATATCCTACCATAAATTATGGTTAGATGTTTGCAAAGAGAGAAAGCGGAATTAAGAAATAATATATTTGCTTGTAACTTCAGATTCGCCATTATAAATTAGTTTTATATACACGTCGTACATCTATACATTCCACGAATCAGGCTTCTGGACATTTACACTTAAAATTGTATACCGTTAACACATCCACGTACTGCGATCGTATTGTTACTATTATTGCATATTACTTATACAATAATATATATGTAACATTACTATCAATCTTCATATACGCATCTGGATTAAGTGCTTTTTTATCTCTATTCTGAAGCGAGTTTCTTTGTTGGAGTATTGTTCTCAAAGACTTATATCTAATCGATCATTTTTTTGATATCGTTAATTCTAATGTTATCTTTGCCATCGACACCATTAATTTTTCCGTGCAAGTTACAATTTTGCAAATAACCGGTATTTAAATATTTAAAGTAGCACAGGTGGAGAAATATTGGATATTTTTATCCAAGCAATGCAACATTTTACTCCCTGGCCAATATTCGATATCATCTAGTCATTCCTCTTCCTCGTTATCTGGTTTTGTGATAAAAATATTTTGTGCATAAGCATAATAATATTACAATACAATTATAACGGATAAACGGAAGATTTTTGTAAATCATTGATTCTATCATCATATTAAAAGGATTAATATTGTCCTCTCTCAATAAGGTTTTTACTTTCTTTAAATTTCTCTGTACATATTGCATGATATGAGTTAATGTCTAGATCAATTATCTTCCTCCTCTTTTATTTTAACATGATGTTTCAACTTCGAATCTAGTGGCTCTTTGGACGATTTTTTACTTTTTTTTTGTTTTTTAGATATATGTTCATTGTCAGAGATACTTGAAGAAATATCCGACTCTAATATATTATGGTTCATATGTTTATGCTGTTCATCTACTGCATCTTCACTGTCGTGTTTATTCATTTCAAAAGTATCATCGACTATTTTATTTTCACTTTTAATTTTAAACTCAACCTCCGAATCTATGTCTTTAGATGCTTTCTTTGATCTTTTTTTCTTTTCTTTATCAGAACTTTCTGTTTTTGTACATATATCCGTTTCCATATGTTCATCCAAATTTTGTGTTCCCATATTTTCATAACCAGATGACTCATAATTCCTTGAACTTTCTTTGATTATTTTATCTATGACCGGGTCAGGTTTTTCTTCTTTAACTTTGACAGGAAAATCTGGCTCTGAATCTGACATTACCATAGATACTTTCTTGTTCTTCTTATGTTTCTTATTATTCTGTTCTTCTTTTTCTTTTTTATATATTTTAACAGGGAAATCTGGCTCTGAATCCGACATTACTAGAGATTTCTTCTTGTGTTTCTTATGTTTTTTATTATCTTGTTCTTCTTCTATTTCTTCTTTATATTTAATACGTTTTACAGTACTTGTGATGTTATTAATTATTTCTTTTTCATTCTCTGCCACACATGTTGATTCTGAATCAGATTCTCTAGGTCTTTTCACGTGTTTCTTCTTCTTCTTCTTCCTCTCTGGCTCAAATGAAGCATCTATTTCAATATGTTCTCTTTTCTTTCTTTTGCGTGATTCTGTGCATCCATTGAGATTTATATTATCATATACATTTGTTCCATCATTATTAAGTTGTGAATAATTGCTAGCATCTGCTGTGTTATCCCATGTATACGCTTCTGGCTCAGGATCCTCAACTTTTATTTTGACAGGATCTTCTTGACTGAAAATAGCACTGTCTTCTGATGCAGAAGTATCTGATCTACCATCTACTATCTTCTTGATGCTCACATTATTTTTAATATCCATATCTGCATTATTAGATATTTCTGGTAGTCTACAACTTTGCAAGTAATCAGTACTTAAAGTGGCACAGATGAAAGGTGGTTTGGTATTTCTATCTATGTGGGTTACACAACATTTTGTTTCTTGGCCAATTTCTAGATTATCACCTAGCCATTCCTCCTCATTGTCTGGTTTTGGGATAGTAACAGTAAATATTTTGTGCACAAGTAAGACAATATGATCCAAGCCCTTTTTATTCACTATACCTATATATTGGAAGTGTTAATAAATTCACTCAACCATGATACAAAAGAAATATAAATACAATTTATATACCTTTTAAAGAACATCCAACTTTTGGACAAAACAGATAAAAGTCAGCTTCAATATCAATATGAATGAAACAGCTGTCATAGAATGTCTCTCCAAGATTACTCAGTACTTTAGGATTTTTGTACGATATTAGAAATCCTTTTAATCTAAAACAAAGCATTGCATCTTATTATAGATATCATTGCAAATTGGCTCCTACCTTTTACATCCAAAATACTTTGTAGACATCAGATACACACATAAAAAAATTAAATATGAAGAAAGTTGTAAGAAAAACATTTATGAATAGCATTTACATTTTTAATTTCTCTTTTGTCTTCAAGTCTCTAAACTATAAAATCAACCAATATCTGGAGATAAACAATAAAAAATACTCTGAATGTAAGACTAAAATTTGAACGTAATAAACAAAATAAACAATTAGGAAAAATATATCATACGTACTCTGTATCATAAGTATTTAACATAGACATCATAATCTCATTGAGAGCTCTCCGGAGGTTTTTTAAATGGAACGGATATAGTGCGAGATGTTTGTTAGTTTTCTCGAAATGTACGCAAGAATCATTATCTTCTAAAAGTCCTTCTAACTCTAAGGGAGTCCACATTATTTTCTGATTTGTCTTAAATTTCATTTTGCTTTGTAACCAGACAAAATTACTTTAAAAGAATATACTTGATACCACGTCTAAACGTTTCGAAGCGCGAAAATTCAGATTAGGTTAATGTTAATATAAGGTTAGCTCATACATATGTTTGGTCTTTTTAGCGGCACTGCGGAACTAGTGCAATAAGTTAGAATGAGAAAACTATATTTGTTTTCACTTTTAAGTCAGCGGCACATGGTGCTTGTTTGCTGGATTGCTTGCTGGATGAAGATACTGCGTTCTGATTGGTGCATTTCCATCCATCTTCGGAAATGTACCAATCAGAACGCAGTGGTGGTACTACATGATTTTATAGACATAGCAGAGAGGAACGTGAGAGCGGCCAACACGGTGTTTTCGACGACACCGACTTTCCGCACTGGCAAAGGGCGTCATCTGCATCCATTTTGAGAGGGGAACCACGATACTACATCCACTTTCAGGTTTCGACGGTAAAACCTGTATGTGGTGACAGTCCGTGCTACATCCATTTTTAGGCGGTTTATGTCCGTGCTACAACCATAATAGCATACTTGACAAGCACGGTCTCGCACATTGTTACGCGTTTATAACATGAATTAACATGTTAACATGTGCAAAAAAAAAGAATTGACATTGTGTATGATTAATATTATGAAGATCATACGAAGTGTCCGGTAATTAGCTGCCAACCCGAAATGTGAGGGTAGATTGGGTTGAGACAAACATAAAAATCCCATACCATTTTGCGAGATTCGTAATAATTATCGAGTTATTAATGACAGAAATCTGAGGAGTAAAGCGCGCCGACATAGATGATTCGAAAAGCGTTGCAGCTGCTCGGGGCAGCGATCATGAATCTTTTCCCTAGCGTGAACTAATAAAAAGTGAAAGACTTCTGTGAATCAGTGAAAAATGAAAAATTTTATATGAATTTGTGAAAATCGGAACATTTCACACGACAATTGAGTCGTTCAACATGGCAGTTGCGCGTTCTGGATAATTCAATGAATACCAAAGAAATCAAAATGATCAAAATAATAATGTTCGTGTAGTCCGAAGGATATTACGTGACACGCAAAATCCGTTTGATATAATATCCAAAGAAAATGTTTCAAAATATGTATGTACAGGTAATATAAACCTTATGCATCGACGAGATATACTACAAAGACCGATGGCTTTACGGGATTTAGCGTACCAGAGAAATTTCCCTGGTGAGGCACCCGGCCGAAAGAGACCGTCTCGCATTTAGCGCAGTAAAATTTAATGGGAACTAATATTTTTCAATCCTTTTCTTCGGATCAAAAAGATTCAGAATTCAGACATATTCAAAATGTCAATACTTTTTAATACGTTTCAATTCGACATTTTATACAGGGAAGCAGGACGAAGGGAATGGGATGCGAGCAACGGATATATCTTGCGTCTCCAGACGTGTCAGATCGTTTATTATACAGGAGACTTTGATACGGCAACATGTATTCGAATATTTAATCGACCCATAGACTACTTATACCATAATAAAATATATAATAAAAAATATAATAAAAATATAGTATATAATAAAATAAAAAAATTAACGCGGATAAATGAACAATTCGTATTAATTTTTCCTTTTCTTATAGAGCAATGAAAGAGTAAATCAATATCGAAAATCGAATATCGATTAATACCGATTAATAAATCAGTGTCAGAAAATTGTCCAATGACAATTTGTTCTCATTTTTCAGGTAGTTACTGCTGTAATTTACACAATAAATTAACTCGGTTAACGAACGATTCGGACCAATTCTTCTTCTCTCATAAAGAAATGACAGAATAAATCAGTACCGAAAATCGAAGGCCGATCAATACCTAATTTATTTATCAAATTAACGCGGATTAATGGACGATTCATATTAATTTTCTGTTTTCTTATAGAGAAATGAAAGAGTAAATCAGTACCGAAAATCGAATATCGATTAATACAATAAATCAGTGTCAAAAAATTACCCAATTGCAATGACAATTTGTTCTCATTTATCAGGTACTTACCCCTCTAAGCTTATTCAACAAATTAACTCGGATAAACGAACGATTCGTATCAATTTTTTGTGTGTTATAAGACAATGAGAAAATAAATCAGTACTGAAAATCGCAGACCGCTCAATATTTAATTTTTTCATCAAATTAACGCGGATAAATGAACAATTTGTATCAAGCTCTTTTTTTTTTATAGAGAAATCAAAGACTAAATCAGTATCGAAAACCGGATATTGATTAATACTATAAATCAGCGTTAGAAAATTGTCTAAGTGCAATGACAAGTTGTTTTTCATCTTGCAGGTACTTACCCCACTAATACACTCAACATATTAAGTCGGATAAAAGAACGATTCGTATCAATTTTTATTCTCTTATAAAGAAATTAGAGAATCAGTCAGTACCGGAAATTGAAGACCGATCATTATTTAATTTATTCATCAAATTAACGCGGATAAATGAACGATTCGTATGAATTTTTGTTTCTTATTGAGAAATGAAAGAGTAAATCGGTACCAAAAATCGAATATCGATTAATACCATAAATCAGTGTCAAAAAATTGTCCAAGTGCAATGACAATTTGTTCTCATTTTTCAAGGACTTATCCCTCTAATCTTCTTCAACAAATTAACTCGGATAAACGAACGATTCGTATCAAATTTTTTTGTCTTATAAAACAATGAGAAAATAAATCAGTATCGAAAATCGAAGACCGTTCAATATCTAATTGTTTCATCAAATTAACGCGGATAAATAAACAATTTGTATCAACTTTTTTTTCTTTTAAAGAGAAATCAAAGACTAAATCAGTATCGAAAACCGGATATTGATTAATACTATAAATCAGCGTTAGAAAATTGTCTAAGTGCAATGACAAGTTGTTTTCATGTTGCAGGTACTTACCCCAATAATTTACTCAACAAATTAACTCGGATAAACGAACGATTCGTATCAAATTTTTTTGTCTTATAAAACAATGAGAAAATAAATCAGTACCGAAAATCGAAGACCGTTCAATATATAATTTTTTCATCAAATTAACGCGGATAAATGAACAATTTGTATCAATCTTTTTTTCTTATAGAGAAATGAAAAAGTAAATCAGTACCGAAAATCGAATATCGATCAATACCGTAAATTAGAGTCAGAAAATTGTCCAAGTACAATGACAATTTGTTCTCATTTTTCAGGTACTTGCCCCTCTAAGCTTATTCAACAAATTAACTTGGATAAACGAACGATTCGTATCAATTTTTTTGGTGTTATAAGACAATGAGAAAATAAATCAGTACCGAAAATCGAAGACCGTTCAATATCTAATTTTTTCATCAAATTAACGCGGATAAATGAACAATTTGTATCAACCTTTCTTTCTTTTAAAGAGAAATCAAAGACTAAATCAGTATCGAAAACCGGATATTGATTAATACTATAAATCAGCGTTAGAAAATTGTCTAAGTGCAATGACAAGTTGTTTTCACCTTGCAAGTACTTACCCCACTAATTTACTCAACAAATGAAGTCGGATAAAAGAACGATTCGTATCAATTTTTATGTTCTTATAAAGAAATTAGAGAATCAGTTAGTACCGAAAATTGAAGACCGATCAATATTTAATTTATTCATCAAATTAACGCGGATAAATGAACAATTTGTATCAATCTTTTTTTCTTATAGAGAAATGAAAAAGTAAATCAGTACCGAAAATCGAATATCGATCAATACCGTAAATTAGAGTCAGAAAATTGTCCAAGTACAATGACAATTTGTTCTCATTTTTCAGGTACTTACCCCTCTAAGCTTATTCAACAAATTAACTCGGATAAACGAACGATTCGTATCAATTTTTTGTGTGTTATAAGACAATGAGAAAATAAATCAGTACTGAAAATCGCAGACCGTTCAATATCTAATTGTTTCATCAAATTAACGCGGATAAATGAACAATTTGTATTAAGCTCTTTTTCTTTTATAGAGAAATCAAAGACTAAATCAGTATCGAAAACCGGATATTGATTAATACTATAAATCAGCGTTAGAAAATTGTCTAAGTGCAATGACAAGTTGTTTTCATCTTGCAAGTACTTACCCCACTAATTTACTCAACAAATGAAGTCGGATAAAAGAACGATTCGTATCAATTTTTATTTTCTTATAAAGAAATTAGAGAATCAGTTAGTACCGAAAATTGAAGACCGATCAATATTTAATTTATTCATCAAATTAACGCGGATAAATGAACGATTCGTACGAATTTTTTTTTCTTATAGAGAAATGAAACAGTAAATCAGTACCGAAAATCGAATATCGATTATTACCATAAATCAGTGTCAAAAAATTATCCAATTGCAATGACAATTTGTTCTCATTTTTCAGGTACTTACCCCTCTATGCTTATTCAACAAATTAACTCGGATAAACGAACGATTCGTATCAATTTCTTTTGTCTTATAAAAAAATGAAAAAAGAAATCAGTATCGAATATTGAAGACCGATCAATATTTAATTTATTCATCAAATTAACGCGGATAAATGAACGAGTCGCATCAATTTTTTTTCTTGTAGAGAAATGAAAGAGTAAATCACTACCGAAAATCGGATATCGATCAATACCATAAATCAATGTCAGAAAATTGTCCAAGTACAATGACAATTCGTTCTCATTTTTCAGGTACATACCCCTCTAATTTATTCAACAAATTCACTCGGATATATAAACGAACGATTTGTATTAATTTTTCTTCTCTTATGGAGAAATGAGGAAGTAAATCAGTACCGAAAATCGAATATCGATTAATATCGTAAATCAGAATTTATATTGCTGTTTAATTTCATCGTCGCAAAAGGTTTGACGTTTTCTCTATCCTAATTCTAACTTGTAGAAAATTTGGTACTCATCTCTATTTAACAAAAGTACGTCGGACTTTCTGTACTAACTAATATAAAAATTTTTTTTCATTTTTATTCTTTCTACGTCTAATATTTTAATACCGAATCTGCCGAAATGTACCGGTCTGCAGAAATCCTGGCAAGACGTTTCTCTCTCTTTCTCGCTCTCCTCTCTCTTCGTCTCTAAATCGTCGCTAACGATTGAAAACCGCAAGCGGAAAGTAATGAAAATTTATTCATCCAACTAAAATGTTCTCCGTGTTATTTTTTAAGCGTTGGATAAATAC